TTCTGAATAGTGGGTGACCCAACGGGTCACGGGTGGTCTAGTATGAACTAAAAATACAGTGCCGGTCTCCACAGTTTGTGCGCTGTTAACTATATATATGGATTAAAGATACAGTGCCAGTCTCCACAGTTTGTACGGCGTTAATTATATACAGCTTTAGAAGTTATAATCATGATGTTGATCTCGCCATGTTTCTATAAATTTAATCAATTTATGTGAAATACATCCAAAAACACGTCCATGTTACGTGGCAAAATATTAAAGACGCGCTTAGAAACTAGAGCCCCTAATCTGTTTAACGAATCCCTTAACTCAAGTCCATAAATCTAATTATTTAAGTAACCATATATGGCTACTTATAATGGCATGCGTATGGTACCAACTGAATGCTGTTGCCTGATCAAACAAAAAATGTAATTGTTACTAAATTATGGATGATTTTTTTATGAAAGCTTTTAATGATTTCGAGCAAGACAAGCAGAGACAAAAATCTTATGGCTTTCACATTTAGGAATCTCATACAAATCTATATGTGCTACATGCCTCTCGAAAAATCTATCAGCACTACATTTTTCACCAGAAAACATGCGTATATACTTTTTTTCATAAAAACCTGTATGTGCTACATTTTTCTCTGGAAAACTGTGATATATTTTTCTCATGAAAACCTGTATGTGCTACATTTTCCCTGATAAATGTTGTATGTGCTACATTTTCTGATAAAACCTATATGTGCTACATTTTTCTGTAAAAAACCTGTATAAGCTACATTTGTCTCATGAAAAGCTACAAGTGTTACATCTTGCTCATAAAAACGTTGATGGAATGCGGTTTTAGTTTTCTATAACTTTTCATTCCCGAAATAGAACAAAGTTAAAACAACCTTCTAGTGACTACTGCTATTTCTCTAAATTCTGAAAAGCTGACAGCAAGTAAAAAATACCTTGTATGGGACCTCACCACGGTAGAGACTCTAACCCAACACCTTGCTTACGAAATGTTGTTGCTTGAAAGTCACGGTTCGCAAGCAAACAATGAATAGTTAAAGTACGATTTCATTATTAATGAACACCGCCTACTTGTGGAAGTCGAAACGTCGTCCTTCGTACAGGCTCTGCACGCAGGCCGTCCATTAGTAAACAAACTAACTTTAGAAAGAAAGGTATTACGAGTGTGATCTTTATACATCTTAGTACAAACAGCAACATCTCTGTTGATAAAAATAAACTTAATTAGAAAAATATTTTCCTACCTTCTACAGTGATCGTATCAACTTCCGGTCAAAGTGAAAGACCATTTGCAAGGTCTAAAATACTAACGTCCAAACTAGCAGTCGCAGCGAAGGAACAGCTTTAGAAAGGCACGTGCTCCTGACGCGTCTTCTGCTCGTGAAGCGTATTCTATTGCGTGACGTCAACTAGGCAAAGTCTACTGCCGAAAAAGTGTAGGTTAGTGTGTAAGAGAAGTGAACGTGATCTGAACATATTCTCGGTACCAGTAATTTATCCTGTTTAAGTAACTGAGTCGGTGTGGTTTACAGGAATATAACAAAGAAGTTCCTTGTATTGCTAGGCCTATCGTCTCTACTTAAATTATCCTATTAAAAAACTAACAAGGAGGAAGTTAGTGTACGTTGACTGCTGTGTTAGGAACTATAAACACGACATCGAAGGCGGTCAACATGCTTATTGTCATATTAACTGCTGGAGGTTTACTCTTGTATCAATGGCTGTATTGAGGAAATTATACTCCATCATTCAGTATTGTTTGACCCATATTATTCGTAGAACATTTAGGCTTTAGTAGTGTTCTTACTTACGTTCACATTGACAGAAGAAAAAGATTAGTTTTGCGTTCACACTGAAAGAAGAACAGACTTTAGGTTTGCGTTCACAGTGCAAGAAGAACAGACTTTAGATTCAATCTAGGGATTAGTTTTAACCTTGCCGCGTTTGTTGTATTTAAATGTTCAAAAAGAAAACTTTGATCCCAAGCCATTATTTTAAGTGCTCAGGTACTATTTATGGGTCAAACTCGAACGTAAAATGCCGTAGAAATATATAAAAAGGGAGTCATGTAACATTACCTTTGATTGATATAACCCTAAGCACATCATATATAATGTACACCCAGTATTATTTAAAACGAAAAAGTACCCCAAGATAAATTAGTCAAAATGTTCGTTAAGGCAACCTTACTGAAGCTAGTGTAATTTGTTTATTGTTCTTTGACTAGATGTAAAATAAGTGTTAATTAAATGCAATTAGCAGCATCTTCGTTATTGTTTCAGTGCTATTAATTATGATATTTACAATGTTAGAAATATGTTTATATCAATGTGAATAAAGTCAATGGTCTGTTGTCAGTAAGGTATAAATGTAATGTAAGGGTTAAAATACAGGGCGGTCCAAAATGATCCTTCCTATTTTAAAATTTAATAATTAAAATAATACAACCATGCAGTTTTCAACACATTGTAGCCAAACTGAAATAGTTTTATTGTCATGTTTGTTTGGTGTGCTTTTTTTTTCACTCCAGCGAGTAGTGTTACCCCGTAAAATGGCTACCGTGCAAGAAGAGGCCAAATGCAATCGATTGGTCGAAGTGAGCCAATACCGTGTCCTCCGCGTTCGCCAGACATCACTCCACTAGAATTCTTTCTTTGGGGACATGTTAAGGATATCGTGTATCGCACACCTATAGCAAACATCACTGAGCTAAAGACCAAGATAACTGACGCCATCGCCACTGTAACTGTGGGTATGTGCAACGAATGTGGATTGAAATCGAATATCGGTTAGACGTGCTGAGAACTACTAATTGTGCAAACCGATAAGTCTACTGACATGTCAATAAAAACTGTTTGAAAACTGCATGGTTGTGTTTCTTTAGTTATTTAATTATTGAATTTCAAAATAGGAAATATAATTTTGGACCACCCATTACTTAGCTCTCTTCATGTGGAGTATATGAAACCCTACAAGTCCTGAGGTAAGGGTTAGCTAACACCCAACAACACCCGAGATAAAGGAGGATAAAAATTAGATAACTCTCTACATAGTGATTAATTTTCTTAAAATATGGAATGAGCATATGAGCTTTCAAATAGAATGTAACATTGCTGTGAAATTAATCTAAAGGTTAATTTCAGTTCAAGATGCAGTTGTTCACGTGGTTATATTACGAAATGAATGGCATATATAATTTCCAGCGTTATTTCGGTTTTGTTATCCCAGGATAGGTCCAGAAATGAACTTACTTAATCTAAAATATATATTCACATATAACATATACATGTCTACAAAATTTGTAATGTTAACATTATTAAACATTACAACAAAGCATTTCTTTACAACTTAATTCATTCATATGAAGTTTCGTATGCTTCAGTATGGAAGTGCGAATTCCAGTTTAGTGTTATATGTTGGGAACCTTTAACAACAGGTAGTTAAAGTTAAATGGTGCGAACGGCTTTTACAAGATCATTATTAATGGATCATACTTGTCATAATGTCTTATGACAAGTATAAATAACTTAAAGTAGGTACAAAAGGTCAGGTACAAATGACAGTTTCAATGTATTTTAGGTTATTACCATTCAAGAAAAATGTTCTATTATGTTTTGTTTTAAACTGTTAATGTTTCTGATGACGTATAACATCGACGTTACACAGTTAACAAGTTTAACGTATTCATCTGTAGATTTGCCACTCAAAAAAGAAACTTGTAAATAGGGGCATAAAGCAACTAGGTTAAACTGTTTATCAAAATGTTTTCATTTCGCAAGATAAAGATCGAGTAAGCATATCTAAAGCGAGCAAAATTAAAAATGCAAAAATTGCGAGTGTTTGATAGTTTGCGCCCTTGCGTATTCCAAGGATAAAACCAAAGTATTCAGTTACCTGATCTACATAACTGAACGAGGTTCGAGGTTCATGGCCTAGAGTGTGGAAGGACAAATGTAGTGGTTCGCTGCACGTGGAATCAAAGGAACAGCACACACAATATGAAACTGGAACAAGTATAGACACTTTATTGACGGAGAAAACATGAAACAGAAGATTGTGTGTTCGGAGTAACAGCTAGGAACTGTTTCACTGTGATATGTTAAATCAAAAAGTAAAAGAACCTGTAGTAGAATTAAAAGCAAAACAAAGAAAACTTTAAATGGGAAGAAAATAAATATAAACTAAAACTAAAAAGGATCGACTATTTGACTAAATATAGAAATGGTGCGCAAGTGAGCAGCAGACATATAGATTAATACAAAGACGAGACTTTTCGACACATATTAGCTTCTTGAATTTCAGAACCTAATCTGGCCGAAAATGTCCAAACTGTTTCTGTGATTCACATTCTCCATACTTATGACTAATCACAAAACTGGATCACTAGTATTTCTGCTCCGTGCAATAGCCGTAGACTAGATCCACACAAATAAGGTAATGTAGGACAAGATACAGTTACCTAATGTAATAACATAACCTTGACCCAGACATGCAACAGAAATCAACTTCTGTGGACACACGACCTCATCCAGATTTAGCATGTTCTGATTTAGAACGTTAGTAAAATTTTGTCAATATTAGATATATTTTTTTAAGAAAGTGAGACCTATGGTATCTGCATGCCCATGGACGTCCGCGAAGGGGACGAGGGGGCACTTGCCCCCTCCGGAAAATGAGAAACATTCTTTATTCATTCAACATATGTTTTTGAATTTTTTTATTAATTTCACAATTTCACACTACTTTGCCCCCCCCCCCGGCATAACTTAGTCATTATGATATGTGTGTCGCTCACCGAAAGTGGGTGTAGCAACTACTGGAAACCACACACGCACACAAATATAATAAACTGCAAAGATTAAAGACGTACTGGAACATATGATTGTTTTCTAACGTACCCAACTTACCGTTATCTTAATGTTTAGTGCATTGGTAAAATTTTCAGAAATATAAATTATCTTGTCAACAGAGCGATGTTGAAACAGTTATAAAAGACTTTTGAATAAATAAAAACAAACCTGCTGAAGACTAGTGACTTTGAAAGTTGCGAAATAAAACACTGTTGTATGTAGATTCTAAGCTTTATTTTTAGAGGAAAATGAAAATTATCTTCTGTTTGTTTGTTTTGAATTTCGCGCAAAGCTACACGAGGGCTATCTGCGCTAGCCGTCCCTAATTTAGCAGTGTAAGGCTAGAGGGAAGGCAGCTAGTCATCACCACCCACCGCCAACTCTTGGGCTACTCTTTTACCAACGAATAGTAGGATTGACCGTCACATTATAACGCCCCCACGGCTGAAAGGGCGAGCATGCTTGGTGGGACAGGGATTCGAACCTGCGACCCTCAGATTGCGAGCCAAGTGCCTTAACCACCTGGCCATGCCGGGCCCATTATCTTCTGTAATAAGATATGTAATATGTCAGAAATCCAAACTCAACATATCTTTGTAATACAAGTAATATGAACTGGGTACGTTAGATTGTAAACGTTGATACTGTATATACTATATGTACTCCGCAGGGTCCCCCGAAAGTTTTTAGCTTCAAGACTGAATTAAACCAAAATTAAGAGTAACAAATATTTTTATTTCTTGCTTTTGAAGTTTATATGTCGTGCTGTGTTGTAGCCCACAGAGTGCATAATTATTGTCGTGATTTATTGCACGCATATGTTTTACTGACATAACGACAGTACAAATTGCAATATTAACGTCATTTATGTGACGTAATTTCAGTGTATACTGACTGATCGACAGACAAAACACTATTGTGTAGTGGCGGGAGTGGTTAAAACAGGTGACGGTAGAGAGTATCATGTCATGTTCGGGTAGAATATTATCACGTTTTTCTTTATTATTATTATTAAGCTAAAAATTGCACATTGTGCTACTGTACTATGCCCACTAAAGGGACCGAATCTTAAATTTTAACGTTATAAGCCTTCAAGCTTCCAGCCAAGCAAACAGGGAGGGTACAAAAATTGCTTGAACTATTTCCTCATGTCTAATCATTTATGTTTGTTTTTATAAAGAAATAAATGTATGGCTAGTTTCTATAATAATTTATGCGTGTCATACAACAGAATCTCTGTCGTGTAAAAATTCAAATTCGCTCTCTTCTCTCGATTATGAATCTATAAAGAAAATGAGTTCCACTCAGAATGGTTCGTTTTGACAGTTTTTATCAGAAGTATACCACGAGCATTGACTTTATCCGTTGGGTGTAAAGAGAGCCTCTTTTATTAGTAGACTATAACTTCCACCTGTGACCATAACAGAACCATTCACCACCTATTTAGTTTCAACTCAACTCGGCCAAAGATTTAGAACTGTAAAGTTAAATGAGACTGTCTTAAGTCAGCGTATCTGTCTGACCACCACTGTATAAGGGATTTCACTGGGCATGAGGATATCTATTACTGGGGTGGGGAGGGGGGTTGTTGAAAGCATTAGTCTGCCCTAGATGGCCATGTGTTGAAACCTTGCCAGCATCTTGCACAAAGACTCGTGAAATTGCACATTCAGCAAGCCTGACTGTCAAGGAAAAAAGATGTGAGCTTCGTTCACAACAGGAGCTTCATCAGTCGACAAAAGGCTCTAATATAAAGCAGAGATGAGGCGTGAGGGGGAACAATTGAATGCGGTCAGTTTAGTAAAGCTTTCAGGAACGTCCTTCTTTCAGAAAATGTATTTGTTTGTTTTGAACCACTAAGTTTGCTTGGTCGTGTCTTATCGTCAACGCCTTATGGTTTAACGGGTTAATGTTCCATAACCACGGTCAGCAGCAAGTCCTTCACCGAGAAAAAGTGAACCTAGTCACACATGACTACTTGAACTACTTGTTGATACAAGCTTGAATTCAAAAGGCCACTTACAGTATAAATGTAAACAGAAAGCTATAGAGCGCCTTCATGTACAGAAACTAAACACTCAAGAAACCATAAACTTTAACGGAAATGCTGTCCTTAAAGAAACACAATAAGAAATTCATAAATAATTTGTATGTAATCTATTTATAAATATAGAACATAATCGCAGAGAATGCATGTGCCCTAATTGATAATTGTTTTTTAAGAAATCAGAAAGTTAAATTCGGTCTCAAGAAAATTCATTATGAAGTTGGAAAAAAGAAGTCGAAGACTGTGTTGCTTTGCTTTCATTCATTTAAACTAACAACCAAAACGCTATTTTTTAACTGCTTTATTTTGAAAATACTGGTGGAAAGATTGGTACTATTACAAAGAAAAGTTCCTCGTTATCCTAAATGTTCTTGGATGATTATGTCAAGCTATGGACTAACAATGTCTTAAGGTCAAAACAAAGAGACATTTAACAGTATGACTTCATAAAGAGCAATAAAACATTTAAGAAAAACTTTACA